GAAATGGCATAGGGTCTCCTGCTTGAGCAGGGGGCTGGACTAGAAGACCTCCAACGTCCCTTCCAGCTCCATTCTGATTGAAATGGCATAGGGTCTCCTGCTTGAGCAGGGGGCTGGACTAGAAGACCTCCAAGGTCCCTTCCAGCTCTATTCTGATTGAAATGGCATAGGGTCTCCTGCTTGAGCAGGGGGCTGGACTAGAAGACCTCCGAGGTCCCTTCCAGCTCTATTCTGATTGAAATGGCATAGGGTCTCCTGCTTGAGCAGGGGGCTGGACTAGAAGACCTCTTGAGGTCCCTTCCAGCTCTGTTCTGATTGAACCCGGGAAAGAAAAGTCTCAAATGTGCCCCGTTCGTTACGTTTGACCACGCGCGTCCTGGCCAAAGTTTCTTTTAGGCATCCATTACCGGAGTCTCTTATTACCCGAACGCCTGGGCGCCTGGGATCTCCAGGTCTGCCCTGGAGACAAAGTTTCTCACGCCTGTCTTTTGCCTTGCAGGTGCAGAGTGTTGACATAGCTGCTTTCAACAAGATCTAACGGCAAACCTTTTACCCTTTCTAAAGCTAATAAATGGTTAAGAGTTGGAGAGCGATGTTGGAGCCTTCTGTCTTGTGAAGCCACATCAACAGCGCCTGGGATGTAAATGCTCACTTCCAGAAGTCGCTCGTTTCACAAGCAGTGTTCAAATCGGTCTGACTGCACCCAGCTGTTGCACACCCATGGAAGGAAAGGGCCACCCTTATCCCCAAAAAAGGATTTGAGAGAAAAACTTAAATACAGGGAGTCCTTGACTTACAATTGAGCCCCAAATTTACGCTGCTAAGCCAAGACCATTGTTAAGGGGGTTGAGCCCCATTTTATCAACTTCCTTGCAAGGGTTGTTCAGGGAATCGCAGCAGCTGTTGAGTGAGTCACAGAGTTGTTAAGCGAATCTTTGTTTTGATTTTTGGTGGAGGTTGCAAAAGGGGGGTCACTTGGACGTAGCAGTGAGGACGATTAAGCAGTGGGAAAGTTTGCCTCCAGAAATCCTGGGCGCTCCGTATACTGGATGTTTGTAAGAAGAACCCAGGGGTGTCAAACTGGATTGAGGGCCGTGTAGAGGGATCTTCAGAATTCTCATCAATGGTCACGCTGTGGGATTCTGGGAGTTGAAGTCCAGACTTCTTCTGGAAATGCCCACGGTTGGGAAACCTCGCACTGCAGGTAGTCCCCAACTCATATAACAGTTTATTTAGTGACCGAGGTTACAACGGCACTGTAAAAAGTGAGCTACGATCATTTTTCACACTTACGACCTCTGCCGCATCCCCATGGTCACGTGGTTTAAATTGACAGCTGACTCACTTTTATGACGGTTGCATTGCCCTGTGGTCACGTAATCCCCTTCTGCAACCTCTTGACAAGCTGAGCCAATGAGGAAGCCAGACTCGCTTAACAACCCCCCGAATTACTAATCCAACAACTATAGTGATTCACATAACAACAGGATTACAAACAACTGCAGTGAATCACTTAAAAAATGCAGAAAGAAAAGTTGTAAAATGGGACAAAACTCAACTTGACAAAGCTTTCACTTATCCGCATAAATTCTTGCACACAATTGCGGTTGTAAGTCAAAGGGCTACCTATATGGCAGGGGTCACCAGCTGTTTGGACCTCAGGGACCACTACATTCATAATTTTAAATCCCACGGACTACTAATATGATTTTTAAAAAATCATACTTAGTATTTAGTGCAATATAATATATAAAAATCATTTTTAGTATTTAGTGCAATATAAAAAATGCAAATAATTTTTCTGCAGACCACCAAAATTTTCACGTGGACCACCAGTTTTCCAGGGACCACCAGTTGGTGACCGTTGTTATACAGTACCATTGAGCAGTAGAGGAGAAAACTCACTTCTGGAAGGAGGGAAATCTAACCTAGCTTTAACGGGGGTGTTTTTGTGAGTTTGCAAATCCCTGCAGACTTGTGATTGCCAAGTCAGATTCCACTGTAGTATATCAGTTGTGTCGGAAAGTAAAAAAAAAAAAATCGTGATCACATAGTGCAGGGTTCTTTGACCGTGGCCACTTTAAGACCTGTGGACTTCAACTCCCAGAATTCCCCTTTGCTGGCTGGGGAATTCTGGGAATTGGAAGTCCACAGGTCTTAAAAGTGGCCAAGGTTGGACACTCCTGATCCAAAGAGATCCACTCAAATGTTGGTCAAGAGATCCCAATGGCAGGTGTTCTGACCGAGGCTTCCTGAGAGCATGAAGGAAACTCCTGGTCCGACAAAAAAACCCTTTTATTAATTGGCTGTGAATTCTGCTCATTCACATCCAGCAAAGTCTTTCAAGGGAGGATTTACAGTCACAGACCTTATCTGGCTTAGAGAGCTGCCAGGCCGATATCTGCAGAACTTAGCTAGGAGTCTCAAAGAGTCACAAACCAATTACTGTATTTTTCGGAGTATAAGATGCAGCAAGGTTTTGAACAGGCAAATTTTAAAAAAAAAGTTTTTCCCTTTACAAACCTCCCCAAAACGGCCCATTTTTTGCTAAAACAGGCCTGTTCCCCCCCACCCCCCAAAAAAGGCATGAATAGCCTTTAGGGAGCTTGCAGAGTGCTCCTGGGGGTTGCCCCCCCACCAAACAAGCAAAAGGCCCATTTTTTGTGAAAACGGGCC